GCTTCAGAAAACATTTTTTTTTGTTTGTTTTGTTATGGTGATAGTACTAAAGAAATGGCAGAGAAAATTGGATCCAAGTGAAGGAAGGGAAGCTGATTTCCCTTCCTTCAGTACTGCCATCAGCAATAGTTTGCACAGAAAATTATCTACACATGACTTGATGGGAGCTAAGAAGCCACTTTCCTCATCTGGAGAACGGGGATGCTTTACAATCCCCAACCCATGAGATTTTAAACATTGGAGTCTGTTAACATGGAAGAGTGATCAGGGCTAGGCTCTATTCACAAATATACTCAAAGCCGGGTTTCTAAGCTCGTTAATGAAGGAAGCTGCTCTCTAATGGTCTGGAGAAGAGTCAAGTGTAGGTTATTGCCAGGCCAAGGGAGGGACTGTAGCACAGGAGTGCTTCAAGACAGGGGGAAAGTAGCCCAAGCGCTGAGGGTAAACTCGCCCCCAGGCCACAGTTTGGGTAATAGCTAGCTGCCGTCTACACTCCACTGCTCACTGCTGTCTGGAGAAAAATCTCATCAGATGCTCAACAAGCCCAGAATGACTTTTTTTTTTTTTTTAAAGTTTAAATTCATTTTACTCTAAATTCCTCCTTGACCAAACTTTTCATTGCCAACCTCAAAAGCTTAGTAGTTGGGAGAAATCAAAAGAGCACTAGACAATGTAATTGGAATGTTTAGAGCCCAGCCAACAGAAGGTGGAGTGATTATTAAAATTTTGTTCTTCCAAAGGCCAGGAGCAAAGTTTCAGTAGTTGTTTTATCCTCGATGGAGTCTTTTAATTACTGTAGGCAGAGTTACCCAAATTGGAATCATTCAGCTACCAATGCTACCAATACTGCAATGTTAGTGCTACCAGTGATTCTCATGGACTATATTATTTACTTGTTATTTACTCCATATTTCCATTACAATGTATTTCAAATGGAAACTTTACATCATTACCAGACATGGAAAAAAGTGTCCCTTTTCGTAGATAAAAGATGGCTACAAAAATAAAACTCACGGAAAGCAAAAACAATATTAATTTCAGTTATTTCTGGCTGCAAGTCAAAGCCCATAACCTAAAGCTAATTTTTTTCTTGTCAAAAGAGACAGGAGCATGTTTAGGGACTTGTTAATGATAAAGCACCAAACTGAGACTTTTCCTTGACATCACCAATAAGGTGGAAAGAGAAATGAAAATGGTGTGGCTCTCCACCACAGGATTCTTGAAAACCGTGAGGCCCCGAGCCACCTAAAGCATCTTATGGAAGGTGCTGCGTGTCCAACCTGGAGGCAGTGCTGCCGTGGGCTAAGGTGCCTTTGAGGAATAAATAATTGATTATAAAGAGGATTGTTAATAAACCCTGTGATTTATAAAATTCCATTCTGGATTGTTATGGAGTGTGGATAATATACTCATTATCCTTTATAGACCTTATGAATCTTACCGGGCAGACTGAAAACTGCTTATACAAATAGCTCGTACATTGATTAGAATATATTCAACATTTACTGTACATTTTAGTTTAAATTATTCATTTGATTTCTTGTTTAAATTCTGTTTCTATATCTTTTCCATGTCTATAACAAGCATATCTTGACTAAATGTGATAATGTGATAGTATTTCACTTTAAAGATTTCCCAGAATAAATAAGCATACTACAATTCTGGCATTTCCAATCAAAGGGGAACATCGCACAGATCGAGTATGCCATCTATTTTCTGAGAGCTCACAGGAACTCTATAAAAAAGTCGGAAGTAGGAGATTTTCTTTTGTTTCTGATTTATTCTTGCATCCCAACGGTCAGCATCTATAGTTTACATTTATGCTACCCAGCTCGCTAGGCAGATCTGTACATGGCTAATTTCCTCCCAATATCTTGTAGTCTTCTTGGAAATCAAGTTTTATGGTAATTGTTACTTTTGGTCAGAAACAAGAAGCACAAGAGTGACTATTAATCCTCAGTATTGCTTACCCTAAGAAAAGTTTTTATTTATTTATTTTTTTGCTGTGGTGAGGGGCGACAAGCCAGATCTAAAAATACACTGGATTTTCTTTCTTATTCACATGTAATTACAGCTCCTTTGTAACTACTGATCACTACCTCAATCATTATAGAAAGAATACATATAAATATATATTTTTAAATGTGGCAAAACTAAGAAGGAAGTAGCTCAGGGCTGCATCTAATTTATCAACATGGCGATTAAAGGGCTGGCTGTGGAGGCTCCAGACATTTAGGGACCGAGAGATAAAACAGAGCAGTTGGCTGTGTTTTTACTAATGAATCCAGGGCTTAAAAGATATCAGGCAATTTTAAAGAAAAGCAGCAAGGACAGGAGACATTAGACAAGGCCAGGAGGGTAATGAAGGGCAAGGCCGGTTACTGAGCGAGAAAATTGCTTCATTTTCTGTGATATTGCTTCTGTGTGCTTTGCAGGGCTCTTCTCACGCTTTGTTAATATGACTAGATATTCAGACAACATCCGAATGCCACTCACAGCAGAGAAGGAAAGAGCCTTGGAACATTCCACAGAGGGGCAGAGGGCTTGGGTCTATTCTCTTGAAAAGGGGAGGCTAAGAACAATGGCAGCAGAAGGGGGTTAGATTGCAAGGCTGGGAACGGTGCTTTAACAGAATGGGAGGGACGCACAGGATTAAATCAACACGAAAGACAACAGCAAGGGAAAGGAAAGAAAAGGCGAGCAAACATACTCTGGAAATGCAGACTTGTTTGGAAGAGGAGGTGGGCCAGAGCATGGGACTAGCCCGTGGTGGTCAGCATGTCTGCAGGGCAGAGCCGTGGGCGAGTCTACTCACTGGGGTGTGTTTCCCCCCCTCCCCCCCCCAGCGGCCACAATAAAAAGGGCATTGGACACCTGACTCCTCAGCTAGCTGGTCAGCGGACACGTTTTCTGCTTAGTGGGGGAAATGTGCAGTATTTTAGAGACAATTCCAGAGTATATTTAGCTCCTGAAGCTGGCGCATACAAATGTCACATTCCCATGAGACAATCGACCCAGTGACAAGAGCACCTGCCAGAGGCCCTCAGCAAACCCAGGAAACTCGCATCCCGGGAGAGGCTGCACACATGGATGTGACGTCATTAAGGCACCTACGCCAGGGAATGACAGGGAAGCAGCGAGGGGATTACAGATTGGGGCAGGTTAAAGAACGTCATCATGAGTCAGAAAAGAAACAGGACTTTTCCAACAGAGGAACGCCACCACCAAGTCACAACACACAGTGCTTGGCAAAAAGAAAAACAAAAGATCGAAAGAAATCATGATCATTAAACAAAAACAAGTCAGAGCAAAAAATGGAAATTAAAATCATAAATAAACAATCATGGTAAAAGGAACATCAAAGCTACATCTTCCAAAATTTTCTGCATAGCATCTCGTTGTCTTTGCCCCATCAAATACACCGTCGTCAAAAGTCAAATTTGACAGGGCAAGGCAAGGAGGGAACAGCACAAGAACAGTGATCATGTTAAACACCCATGCAGTCACACCTCTGCCACCATTGTTGGACAAGTTGTAGACTGCTTCCAGCTTTGTCAATATTCACAATAAGACCCGAGGGAGAATGAACAATGCCGAATTTTGAAATGATGTCCAAGTGTTAATTGGACTCTTTGATAACCTCCATCCCTTGGGGGAGTTAACAGTTGGAGAAAATTCAAGCCTCAGGAGAAGTGAAGAGAAAACAATTGTAACCAACAGCTAAATTTTGGCCGATATATTTAATGCTTTCCTGGAAAAGCTGTTTGTTTGTTTGTTTTAGAAAGTCGCAGTGGGCAAACACAAAGTGTTTTTTCTGGGTTGTCTCTTCTTGAGAACCCGGCCAAGACGAATGAATACCTCTGAGGTCTGGAGCCACACATAACAAATCATGGCACATGCGAGGGCTTGTGGCCTGCCGGACAGCCCGTCCCTTCACAGATTGGCCTGGCATTCAGATGAGATGCAAAAAAGGGTGGGGGTTGCACATGCAAGTCTGCCTGGGAAACACCCTCTCCGAGTAGAAGGGGGTGGGTTCACGGAAAACCCCGAGGGAGGACATGCTGTGCTGGAGGCTGCCTTCACTGCAACTGGTCTGCCCTGAGACTCCAAGCCCTGCCTGGGTGAAACTCTTGAAAACATATAGGAGTCAACAGTTCTGAAGGGGGTGGGGAACAGCTCACAACATAACTGGGCTTTTCAGTCTCCGATTTACAAGACTGGTTTTTTGGACAAGTGAAGGCCTCTTTGGTTGCAGCTGCAACTAAAGTGAGCTGTGTGGCTGTATGACCAGAGCAGCAAATGACAAGGAAAAAGGAAAAAAAGATTTAAAAAGATGACATTTTCTGTCTCAAGTTGAGCAAAGAAAGCCAGGGAGAATTTAGCACCGTTCACAGTAGAGTTCCCTTCATTTAGGGCAGCTCCCTTTCCGTTTTCCATGCATAGCAATTCTGCTCGGTTCCATAACATATTTTTGTTCTGGCCGTTGTCCTAGAGGCAGCGACAGGATGCTTTCAGGACCCTGGCTCTGTTCAAACGCAGTGCCAGGCAAGACTGAGAGATGCTCGCAGCCAGAAAAGACTGTGCCCTGCCATTTCTCCATTCACTGGTTAAGCGGACTTTGACGTTGCTTACATGCACTTGCCAAAGCCCTCACTGCATTCATTCCAATGCGGTGGGAAGAGAGGACCCACAGATTACAGGAGAGGGCGGAGGGGGTCTCAGGAGCCAGCATCTGTGCTGGGCCAAGCCACACCTCTTTTGGGTGGGGGAAGCTTAGCGTCTGTGCTATTTGTTTTGTGTGGTTTCTCCTTGCGTGGGCAATAATTTAGGATCAAGCTTAGCCAAGAGGATTGGGTTGCAGTCTTTTTTGAGATGCTTTCAATCATAGCGTGTTGGAGGTTTCTCACATCGGGCTGCGATCCTGCTGGAAGCAGTTACAGAGTTCTCCCTACTGTTCCCTCCCTCTCCCCCCAGAGGAAGAGGCAATTCCAAGGCCTTACCCTTCTTGTCTTGGTGATTATGGGAAGACACTGCCCCCATAGGGTCTGTGCTGCCGGGTGAATGGAGCAGGTCTTTCCAGTCCAGCATTCCTCCCCTAGACTCATACCCCTCTCGCGCCGTCGAATCTGACGAGGTGGTGCTGGGCAAGAGGGAACTGGAGTGCCCTGTTTTCATCACAAATACAGTTAGGGAGAGGCATCACCCGAGACATCCCTATCCCCTTAGCTCAGAGGCTAGGAGGTTGGACTCCCACACTGGCTGTAAGACCAGAAGGAGATGGCCCTATAAACAATACAAACGGGGGTGGGATTCAGCAGAAGACCCTTTGAGCTTAGTGGAGAAAGGGTAAGATTCCATCTCTGCTTCCTGCTGAGCGAGCCTTGGGAAATCACTCAACTTCTCTGGGCCTTGGTTTTCCTTGTGCACAAAACGATGCCTCTTACTCTCACAGTGTTGGGAGGATAAATCGACATAATAGTGAAAATATCTAGGAGTGTCGGACACATTGTAGGTGCACAGGAGATACTGATGCCCTGGTTTGGTAGGAAAAGGCAAACAGTATCCACTCTGGGGACACTCTGTGGCTGAGGGGGAGGCTTATGGCAATGCACCCGCCTCTCCCATCACCCACAGCTCAGGGGTCCTGGGCCTTCCTCTCTGAGGGTGCATCTACGTTTCAGCGGCAACTCAACTCCTTTCTGGGAGAAGTGGTTGCTTTCTAAAAGGACCTGCTCCCACCTCCTTTCTCCTCTAAGGCTCCGTGTTGTTATGACTTTGTCTTCTGTGTCTTATTCCAACCGTGCTAGCTTCATGGTTTTATGAGTCCTAACTGTGAGAGGTTGTTTTTATGGCACATGGACTAATACTGTTTGATTGGAAAGAAATAGCTTTTTGAGATCCATGGTGGCCCATGATAGATGTTAGCAGAATGGCTGTGTTGGGAATTATGGCAGACACTGGACATTTCCTGTGAATACACTCCTAAGTTTTCCTTCTGTCATTCCACAAGGCTAAATGCAGATCCTATTAAGTGCTTTGATCTAAACTGGTGCGATGATTGAAAGAAGCCCTTTCCCTGTTCTTTCTAGGAGAAATAAAATATGACTTCTTTAGGATGTCTAAGTAGTCTTTGGGTAGTCAGCCATTTTACCGGGAACAACCTCTTGAGTAATTTTTAGAAACACATCTCGGGGCAACTACGGTGAATGTGTGATTGGTGCCTTTGGTAGAAAGCAGGACAGAATCCCAGGTGGTCTCCACCTTGGGCTGTCATCACCATGCATGCGATAGATAAAATACTGGCCACCAGAAAGAAAGGCTGGAATGATCAATGCATTACATCGTTCCTTTTTACAATTATTATTGGAAGTTGGATTCCCAGGAGACTGTACTAGTGCCAGTTACAAAATATATACGTAAAAGAGACGGGAAAAGCAAGCCAGCCGAGTGGCTTGTCTAAGCTATAATGATTTCTATGTATGCACCGCACTTAGATGCTGTGCAAAGCTTTGGTAACATTTAAGAGGCAGCTTTCTGCGTAGAACTTGTTTGGCTCCCACACAGCTTCAAACATCCACTTTGGTACAAATAGTCTGATTCAGAACCAACTGCTAGAAACACATTCATTTAAAACCCAAGAAGGCTTGGATCCAGATTTTTTGTTTTTACATTTCTGGGTATCACTCCTCATCTCATGATACTGACAAGAGAACAAGGGAAATCACCTGAAATTTCTTTTGCTTCCTCTTGCTTTTATATTGAGCCCTAAAATGCAGCCTCAATTTTCTACCCTTCAATTCAACACAGCTCTAATGAAATATATTGTTAACCTAAGAAAGAATTCAGCACCCAGCATAAGCAAACAATTAGAAATAGCTTTGTAGGGAGCTAAAAGGTGTGTGTGTGTGTGTGTGTGTGTGTGTGTGTGTGTGACAAAGCCTCTCCTCGAAGTAGCAAAAAAAATTTCTTTTACCTGAGTTGATATGCATTTTGAGCACTTTTAATGTAACTGTGTCCAAGGGGCAATTTTATGATAATACCATAAGTATGGTTAAGGGAGAACATTTCTTAATACGGTAATCTAGGGGAAATATATGCCTAAGGGACACATTCTCTGTAGAAAGATTTCTAAGACCATATGCTGCAAATACGAGGAAAACTCATTGGTAATGGAAAGCTATAGCTATGAGCGGATATTAATGTGGACCAGATGGTAGTTAGGTAGGGAAATGCTTTACACAAATGTGAGAAACCAGCTCCTTCCTATCACTGAAGTGTTAGTCTAGTACCCATCACATCTCCATTTTTTTGTATGTAAATCTAGAGAAACCATGCATCTGATGTACTCAAATTTAAAAATAAATAGAGCAGCATGAGGCTTGCAATCTTTTAAACTTATGCTTAAGGACAGGCAACACGTGTCACTGGTGAATCAAGTAGTCGCAGAAAGCAATATCTGATTCTCAAAAATTTTACAAGCACCATGGAAAAGGACCATTAAGCAGCAGTCCTTAATTTGAAATCAAAGAGGCATATGATTATTAACTCTCCAAGCTTAAAAAAATGTTGAAAGAAAATCACTTCTGAGAATCTGATTCTACAGGCTATATTAGTTTGTGCATTCCCTAAGAGACTGTGTAACCAAAATCATGCTACAAAAAAATAGGCAATCATTTGTGGATATAGTATTACATGTCAATAGAGTTCAAATCTGTAATTTTGTCTTGATAATCCAATTAGGGAGGTCATGTTTTAACTAATGGAGCTTATGATGTGTTCTTATAATATACAAAGAGGCGGATATTAAAAGTTAAGTTTAATATGCATCATACTGTTTCTCTATATCTACAAATCTTCGTGATTCCAGAGGTTAGAGACCTTTCAAACTACTCTAACTTATTAACAATGATTATAACCAATTAGACACCAAAAAAAAGAGACACTATATCAATACAAGAGAGGAAGAGAGAAGAAAAATAACCAGGGTCCAATTCACTAAAAAGGGTTTCTTGGTTATGAAACTGATGTTGCACAGAGCTTTTGCCAAGCAGAGTGCATGGTTTATTGAAATGATCCCTTTTTTAGGCAGTTGTGGTTTTGTTGTTCACTCTGTGAGCCTGCACTCAGCCAATGAACTTTTTATGGAAACTTTCAAAGCACACAGTGGGGAGCAGTGGGTGCACTCTGGTCTGTGCGGTTGGCTTCCTAAGCTACATCCTTGCTTTTAAAAATAGCAATTTGGTATTTCCTTTGAAGGTAACAACACCACACCTAGTCCAGTGCCTGGCACTATTGGCTGAATAAATTAATTACCTCTGTTCTATGTTTATTAATTCCAAAATCAGCATATCTTCAATAGTTTGTGAAAAGTAAGTCTCCTGTATTTTTCTAAGTACTGTCTCGAGCAGCCTCATTTTGATGGTCAGTTAATCATCTAACCACTCCATCCTGGTTGGTTAGCCTGAAATGGACAGGATTATTCATGAAAAAGAATACAGTATTCCAACTCTTCTTTAGTTTCATCACAGAAACTACTAGTCAAAAACTGAGGGTGGTGAGGCATTGTCCTTTAAAAGTGTTAATATGGAGACATTAATAAGTTCCTTTCCTTTTGAAAAGGAAAAAGAGATACATAGATTATTTCTGTTCATAAAGAAGATCCCAGTTTAATTGTTCTATCGATATGAGAAATTACCTGGGAGTTAAAATTGTACAAATTGATGAATGCTAGGGAGGTTGCTGATTCAATTAGATTCAAGACCTGAATTTATCAGTTTCTGATAAAGATTATTCAATTATAAGAAATTATTTCAAAGTATGATATTGAGAAAGAGTAGAAGCTAAGTAGGCTCTCTTTCTGAAGGATAGGCTAAGTTAGAGGACATATGCCTCCTGATAAATTTTTTTTCTAGTAGTTGGTGTTTAATGTCTTGGTTGGAGCCACAGATGAGAGAATGTTAAAGGTGGATGAATAATTTTGTGGGTTTCTCTCTGTACTACCTCACTTCATGTGGGGGTCAGTCAGGAGAAATCAGGTATTATTTTCCATATCTGCACAGCTCCAGTTTATATAAGATAGTCTTTAGGACTTTCAAAGAGGCTTTTTATTTATGCTAATACTCACGGGAAGTGAGAGTTCACATAGAGTTATTAGACACATTTGTAGCCATCTTGAACTGTTTCTTTAAATCCAAAATCCACCTTGATTTCTTTTGTTTGTTTCCCCTTCACTTCTTACCTACCTTTACATTTAAAGTAACAGTCCTAGAACTATTACTATTCTCAAACACAAAATCTATAAAATTTGTGTATCACTGAAACCCATAGTCACCATTATTCTATATAATAAAAGCCTACTATGCAAATTATCCTCTCAACTGGGAGTTCAACCAGGGGTCAGGATCTGCGGGCCCCTCTCTCTGACTGGCCCCACCCTGGCTGATGGTGGTGGTGGTGGTGGTGGTGGTGGTGGTAGGCAGCTGGGGGAAGGGAGGCCCTGGCTGGCAGCCTGCAGCTGCTAGGGACCCTACTGTGCATGAATTTCATGCATTGAACCTCAAGTAATGCATTAGCTTAAGTTTGCCATCACACATATTTTTTCATTTTATATTAAAAAAAAAAAACCCACATGAATAGTTTACCCTAATAAATAAATACTTGGAGTAACTTTGAGAAATGGAATGTTTTAACTACATTTAAACTTTTTTTTATAAAGAGCTCAGAATATTCTGTTTATGGATTTAATAGCTTTGTTTAATGTAGCGCCTGCATTTCAGGGCAGGAACAATGGGAGAAGCCCTGTGTGCACATCGTTTGTGCTGTGTCTCTCTTCCTTGTACACATTTTAAAGAAATCTTGATGAAAATATGTCTAAATAGTTGCACTCTTTGTGAACTTAAATTTTGATGGCCAATTTCATGCTATATTGGAAAGTTTTGCCTAGTAAGAAGCTAGTATGTTCACTCTATAGATTTTCCCCTGAAGCAGGTATGGTCTTGAGAGTGAGCATTTTGGGAATGTTGCTCTCCATCGGTTAGAGAGTTATGGCCTTTTAGTTACAGGCACTATTCTTTTATCTTGGATATATATATGTCCAAAAGCAATTTTTTTTTTCTCCTTCAAGAAATCATTAAAGATATTCACCAAATTCCCTAGGGTTGGCATATTTTATGTTATATGGATTAAACTGTAGGACTCAAGTCTCATACATCAAATGCAGGCTGAGTGATTTTTGAAGCATCATGCAATCTATAAATAATTTTAGTGAATTGGGGCCCTGAAGTAATAAACAATCTGGTCCATGGTGTTTAGAAATGAAAACTATAAACTACCACAGGATAAGTGGCTTGAAGAATTAAAAAAAAAAAAAAAAAAAAGAAATCCATCAACTGACCATGTACTGTGTTGTAAGACATTTCATGATCTGGTAGAGGAGTTGAAATGTCTATAAAAAAAATAATGAGGACAAAGAAATTAATTTAGAGAGAAATCTAAAGTTTGAGAATACTGAAGAGGATTAGTGAAGCAGGATTTCCTAAATAGAGTTTCACCGATAATTAATCACGAGTAATGCCATCCTTACCATTCAGGGCCACGAAGGAATCTGAAAGACAAAAGGAAGGAGAAGGTTACTTATGTGTAACACTGCTTAGTGTGACTTACATGGTAAGTGGGAGTGAACTAATACAGGACTATAAGGACATATGATATCCAACACTAAGTAAGTGCATTTCAATTCTGGCTTGTAATGTAAGTTGCATTCTATTCGGTCCAATTTCACCCCCCCATCTCTTCCCCAAGTGAGTTTCCTCACAGGCACTGTCTTTATTGCCAAGAGGCAGAGAAAAAGCAAGAGTTAGTAAAGAAATGGTAACTGTGATTATATGTGTTTCTGAAAATGTAAGCCCTATCATATATGTGAATAAAATAAGTACCACATGGACCCACACTTATAAAGAACCCTTTTTATACATTCTCTCATTTCGTCCTCACAACCATGCTGTGAGGAACTGTCCAGAATCACAATGTTCTGAACTCAGCAGGGAGTTTACTTAAGTGATGAAAACAAAAATAAAAGAAATCACATCCACACAGAAGCAGCCTACACCTGTGTGTGCATGCTGTGTCTGGGTCAGACCACTGGTTCACTCAGCCTGCCCTCAGCCTCTGGCACTGGCTCTGCATGATTTTCTCATCTGCCCTCAAAATCCTGATGCAGAGTCATTGCGCACCAATGACCTAACGCCTCTGAAAGCCTGTCTGTGAAGGTGTAAGTCCCATGAAGTAGGTCACGCTCCAGCAGAGCACAGGGAGCTGAGAAGGCACTCAGATAGGCGGCCCAGGGTCGCCTCAGCCCTACCGCCCTGAGTGGGCCTCTGAGAGCCTCAGCAGGAATGAGGTTCAAGGGTGGGGAGTACAGGAAAACAGAAGCTGGACTGCTGAGGTTAAAGAGTAAGTCACGGGCCAGGGTAGAGGGTCTCCCCTATGCTTAATACTGGGGCTTCCATCAGCCTTTCTGCCAAGAATACAGGTGCAGTGTGAGCCCACTGGTGCATGGGGCACTTGGTAGAGCTATTAACAACCATTGTCACATTTTTCATAGATTTACCTATGAAATCCAAATTGACACCCAGTTTTCTACAGATGCCCATACCACCAGATCATAAAAATATGATGAAAAGTATTCACTAAAGTCAGCTAATTCAGTTCATATAGAAACCAAAACTTGTTTCCTGAAAATGGAGCCATAAGGCATCAATGTGACTAACATCCATAGATCTAATTGTTTCACTCCCCAAAAGTAATGTAGATCTTTTGGCAGTGACACTGTCTCCTGTGCTGATTCTTTAACTCATTAAATGTTGTGTCTGAAGACATAATAAGCTTTTGCCAATATATAATATTTGAGAACAAAAAAATATATGCAAAGAAATTGGAGATAAGGCTGCCACATCTCTTTATTTGATTATATCTGATTTCTATAAGAGATAAGAAAGTTAAATGACATGTTAGCATTTTTAGGAGAGTTTTGATATTAATAAAAAATAGGAGAACCAGGATCCTTTACATGAAGTTCTAACTAAAATGTTACCATTTAATAACTTTTGAAATGAACTCAGATTCACGTAGTTTAATTTTTATGAAAAGGTTATTTTGTACACTTAGTGGGTTATATATGAAACTTTTTTCTACTGCAAATGTTAACAAAAATCTAATTTAAAAATATAATTACTTTTGTTAGTTTCTATGTTGAAGAAAAATAAAAATAGTTCCATTCAATTAAAAAGCTAGAGTACAATGTCCAGACTTTTCATCATATTTGGTTAAAAATTACAGTGTAAATAACAAATTTAAAAAAAACAACAAATCTGGGCTTTCACAAAAAGAAAATGCAGACATATAACTTATTGCTCTGCATAATTAATATCTTCTTAAGTGAGTCTGTTTCTCAGTATTGTAATAATGCACTAGGTGCCAGCATTTATAGCAACAGCATCGACAATAACATTGGCTCTAAAACATACTATTTTCTTTATTTGATATTTAGAAGATGGTTTCTGTTATGTATGCGTGTTTTGGTGCCAGCTGTACTCAGTTCCACATGCAGGGTAATGTTTCCAGCCATTCCAGAAAGCATCTCTCCCCAAAGATAAACACGGATAAAAGCTTCACTTACTGTGACAGTCTCCAAGGCCATCTGTATTGCCACGCTCTATGTCCTGTTCAAAAGTTAGTCTTTCAGAAAAGGAGGGGAGAGAAAAACAAATTCAATCATGTGAGTCATTACTCAGGTTTCACTAAAGCAACTAACACAGTTTGATAAACTGAGTGGCAGGTGCAAAAAATATGTAGATAACAGCTTGAAAATTATATCTTTGAAATTTACAGAAATGAGTCTTATGTATAAGAATATCCAAAAAGAAACCCTTGCTTAGGAAGTTAATTCAGATATTATTAAGGTGTGCATTATTTATAACTGTCTTTTACTCTGATTCCCTGAATATGTCTTAAACATTTAAATGTTAAAATACACTGTTCTGAGCAATATAGTTTATAAATTTCTCTCTATAAAAGCCTAATATGCTAAGGGTCTGACCTATGAGTTGACCATTCGACCAATCGCTATGACGCATACTGACCACCAGAGGGCAGACACTCCTTACCAGTAGGTTAGTTTGCTGCTGGGGTCCAGCAGATTGGGACTGGATGAGATGGGCTGGGCATGCCCTGGAGCCAACCTCCCACAGTCCCTCCCTGGCCTCTAAAATATTTCTTCTAATTAATTTCCTTTGAATGTGCATGAATTTGTGCACTGGGCCTCTAGTTAAAAATAAGTCTCCCTCTACTTTCTCTTTCACCCTGACCCTTTCGTTCCTAGATTTTTATCTATTTCTTTGCTTAGCAGTAACTTGTATAACAAAGTGTTAAAGGTACAAATGGCCAGTGGCTCTGTGGGGCCCGAGAAGAGAGGGCTCGGAGGTGCATTTTGCTGAGACCATTCAGGTAATGTCTTCACTCTCCCGTCCTCAGGAGTATACTTCTGGTTATACCTTGAATATAGGAAGATCATGCTTGGCTTCCTTCACTGTGCTTTGTGATTCTTCCTCCTTCACTTCAAGAGTCCCAGGAGAATATATAAAGTGCTACCACTGTAGCATGTCTATATTTTGCTACTTGTAAAGATGATGTAATGAAGTATAGAAGTCGACCCTTTGTATTAGTCAAATTTCCAGGTCAGATTTAGTTATCATTCACCCTGTTTATGGGAATACTTTCCCTCATACTATGCAGGTGGTGGTGATGAGGTGGCCTTCTGCCTATTTGCCTAGCTGTTCTAAAATGGGAGAGGAGAGTCAGTGATGTGAGCCCTTCTGTTCCCCCTTTGGATTTGGGGAAGTTGAAGAAATTGGCTAAGAAAGAGCTGTGCTGCCATATGGCACCTCCCTTGAGTTGCCATAACCTGTCAAGGACATGCATTGGATGTTTTTCCAATGTTATTTTGGATTTCACTTCCAATGAAGTAAACACATAAAAGAAACCTTTTAACTAATGCCAGCTGAGCATTTAAGGACCGGGTTACAATTTTAAGCACCGAAATCACAGGCATGTTACACTGCCCCGATTGAGCCGATCTGCTGGAGAACTGCCAAGAATTGACTATGTAATGAGTAATAGGGTCAACTGTTCTGCAGCGCAGGAGAAGATTTATTGGATGTGTACAACATGCTTGCAGTACAAACGCATCCTTAACAAATGCTCTGCAATTTCTTCCCAGCCTCGTATGGTCAATTAGAGGAGCCCGTTTTGTGATGGCTGGGCAAACCGCATCACTAATCTAATTGCTACCCAACTCCCCTTTTCTCTGCTGTTCTCAAATTGTGATGATTAAGGCATGCACATCCCTGTCCCCCTCTCCCGGGAACACTCAGAAGCCCACTGTGTTTCTTCTCTTTGTGTTTGTAATCAGCCTGAGGATGCATGATTAATCAATTGGAAATCCGCCACCTGTGATATTGGGGTGTTCTGTGAAATGGGAAAAGGAAGGCGAATGGCTGATTGTGTGGCTGTCTGTCCCACTGATGAGGCTGTGCACAGAAGGCTGAGTGTGGTGGTATGTGCAAGCACAGTTAACTCATACATATAGACTGGAAAGCACCTTCCACTCTCCCACACCTGGGGCACCTTACCTGCTGCTGGGCAACAGATAGGCACAGGAACCTCCTTCCTTCACCCACCCGCAGTAAGGGTCTCTGGAGGCGATACAAGTCCTGCAGGAAGAAGATGACCGTGAGCTACATAGGCCTCCTTTCGAAGCATTTCCTAATGAGCAATGAGGCAAAGTACATACTTTTTGCACTTCCCATGTCGTTCACACCGACCGAGGGGAACCTTTATCACACAGGTGGAGAATGCAACATACAGAGAGTTGCTTGCTTTGTCCAGTTGCAATCCCATAATCCTCTTGTCTTCTACTCCATCATAGCTACACCTAATTGTAGAAGGCAGGATAATATCATTAAAGGTTTCTCTCGGGTCAGTTCTCTTTTTCTTGCCGCCACCATCATACTCAACACCCAGCCCACAAAGCGATCTCTTAATCTGATCTAAGTAAAGGTGAAATAGATCCTTGTACATGTGCGCCCTGCACGCAAGTGCACGCGCACACACGCACACGCACACACACACACACACACACACACACACATCTATATGTGTGACTATATAAATAAATACATTATTGACAAGGAGAAAATAATGCCTTTTATGTATTAAAAGATTTTCACAAATAATTTTAAAAGCCACACCTAAAAATGTAAAAAACCTATGTTTGCCTTGACTTCCTCTGAAAAACATTAAGTGATTGCCAAGAAAGGACCAAACATTCTACATACTTTTCAGGATTGTAAACGCTCATCTCCTCCAGGAAAAGGCTGTCATTTAGGAAACCACTGTTTCCTATTCTGGCCAAGAACTTCAAGATGAGTCCCTTCTCTGATCCCAGGAAAACCACAGTGTGATTCTGATAGGGCCCAGCCGCGGTGTCTACTGCAATTTTGGTGAGGCGGTATCTGAAATTACAGGGTCGCATTTTCCATCTCTCTGTTGGTCTGTCATCCGAGTGTCCCCCTTCCCACTTCACACAATTGAATTGTGACAGAGCTTTCTAGTAATAACCTCAAGAGAAATATATGCATGCAAATAATGCTCTCAAGCCGTTCTGGTATGTTACTTCCATATGCAGAGCATTAGTATGGCTCCAAGGGGAGAACAGAGGTATGGGGTGTGGAGGCCACGTTACTTAATAAGTAGCCAGCCATAACCATCTGAAACCACTCAACAATCATCTCTGCCCTGAGCAACAAGGGAAGGCTCATGTCTCCTCTGAAGAGGAGAGGAATAAGGGAACTCATTTGACATTTCATTTAGCATTGGAAAGAAAAGCAATGGCTACCATTTTTTTATATACCATTCTTCTGATGTAAAGCCACATCAAGAAAATGCCAGATTGGAAAGATTTTCAATTGTATGTAGAAGGACTGAAGTTCCGAAGGATGTGCCAGCCAAGCAAGATACATTTCAAGCAAAGGCGAAGGGCATCAGCCTTGTCACACATCTAGGCTAAGTCCCATTGGGCCTCTTCTTTCTCTCAGCCATTCAGTACTCCATAGACACCTATTTGTCCTAAGCACCATGGCATGTTCCAGAAAATATGGACCCTCTTGCAAGTTATATTGTTTCCATTTTATGGACAAGAGCCATTGTAATGCTTTAACATATTTCAGTAAAGGCATAGTTAAAAAATGGTGGTAAATTTAATTAGTCTTGTGTTTGATGATTGCCCAGACTGGATGGTACTTGGGAAAGCCTGTTGAATTGTTTGGAGATAAGCTCTGAATACTTACAAGGAGGAGTACTTAATGCTTTCACAGATTTCACACCAGCTATCCCATCTCAGTTGGCCACCACTTCAGATAACAAATGCTAAAGCATGACCCTTCATGCTGGCATTCTTTAGCATTTGCAAATCCTCTTTTTGTTCATGCTCCACTTGAAAATTAACAGCCAAGGCACAATGCTTGAATGGAATCTGCAGCTTGTTTTGCAACCATATCCAACCAAACAGGTGTCCACATCATCGACTGATTCTCCTTGACTGCTCCTCCACTTTGGCACAGGCTGGACTAAAGGGCTACCCAGGAAGGAGATATCTTTGTTTCCTGTAATTGCTGGCATGTGCCCAGTTAGCCCCCAAATACCCAAACTCTTCTCAATGGGAATGTGGTCACGGGGTTTTGTGGCATCCACCCCACTCGTCAGCATTTCATAGTGGAATCAATGCACGTGATCACAGAAGATGTCTGTGCCATTTCAAAATATGACCCGCTGATATGAGCATGAGATGGAGTAGGGAAGATCCCTGTAGGACTCGCTGTGCTTGGCACCCACCTGACCATCGTCCTCAGGAACCACGGCCTGTTGATGACAGAAGGCACGGCCTCGTCCATGAGTGGGTGTGTTTTGATGAAGTTCAGGGTATCATCAGGAAAGTCGTTAGAGGTTGCATATTTTTCTAAAGAGGATGAGCCAGCACAGCAACCCGGCCTAAAAAGAAAGGGAGGGAGTTTGTTTTGTGCCTTGTGGCAAATTCTCTGAATGAACTGCTTCTCTAAGCATCTGGCATGAGGGAAAATGTACCAGAGGCTGAGAGGAGGAAGCTGAACAATGCAGATGCCACCAAAGAAATGTGCTTAGATTTCCTCCATGCTGCCTTGCATACCTTGGCTGGGGGCAACTTGGCTTCCCCCCAGAAGCACAAACAAATTCCATCAACAGTGATGGAGCTTGAAACAAGGGGGGAGTGTATGGTATGCACATGTCCCAGGGCTGTTCTCTCTGCCCCAAAACCCTGCTGGAAGTTCTCGAGGCATTTGTTCTACAAAAGGACAGAATTAAGCTGACTTTCCCACAAATGTAGAAAACAAAGGCAACTCAAAAGCCACCAGCCAGCATACGTACCAGCAAGACTCCATGTAACCATCTCTCACTGGCAGTCAGAGAACGTCTGAATTTTGTTTGCTACGGATGCTTTTGTTTCTGTTTGATTTGGGCAGGTATGAAAAGCCAATGACACTGAAGCTTCCCTCCTGAAGGGTCACGTCCTTAATGACGTGAAAACTTTTTTCTACAGGAAATGCTATGGCTTCTGGAGTTAAGGGACATCTCGGTAAAGTCAGATCAGGGAAACACTGACACCAGGCCTATCCACACACCTGGACTCTGACAGCGATGGCATGGTCTGGCCCACAAATGCACTATGTCATGGCACTGACCCGGCCAGCCCTGTGGGCATATCCTCATATCTGCAAGAGGGGCGAGGCAAGCATGCGGGAGGATGAGGCTGAACATACAGCCAATAGTAGCAAATCACTTACAGTGTGTTTCCTGGTCATGGCTTACACACCAAGGAGAACACAATAAGTAAGTTCTCCCTGAAACCTGACCCCTCAGGCTGAATCCCCCCCCCCCCCCCCCCCCCGCTTATCTAGAAAGTAGCTAACAGTTCCAGACAATGACTTAGATGCAGTGTTTCCCAAACTTTTGACATATGTGTACCCCTTCTATAATTTTCGTAATGCTGAGTACCCCTCGTACTCATGAGAATGTGGAATTAGGCGCAGTATCCCCACCAAACTCTTCCCGTGTCCCTGGGGGTACGTGTACCACTTTGGGAAACACTGATAGAGGATCTATCTGAGGTTTTGTCAGAGTGTGCTTTTTGCACCCAATGCACATGCCAGACAATTCAGGCAATGAAGACAGAACCACATGGTTTCTCTCCTGGGTACAGGGTTCACATTATTTAAATTAGTTCAATTAAATGGCTTGGGCTAGGTATTTTATGTGGGGAACTTGAGGTTGGAAACCAAAAAACTTAAAAGACACTGGGCTTCTTCCTTCCAGAGGCCCACAAACTCAGTGGAGGGAGCTGGGCACACAAGGATGTTTCCAGGTAACTTAGACTGCAAATGCTGTAATGGAGGTAGCCAGTGGGTACCACATACATAGGGCAGGCACAGGGCTGGGTGACAGTTTTCTCCCATCCCAGTTAAAAAGGATGGATTCACAGTTTTAGTGTGAGGAGTTGAAGGAGATTACGAAGGACCAAGAGGTTCCCGATGAAGGACAGTAGATTCCCAATGAAGGCAATTCTGGGGCACCCTTTGGGGAGATGGGAAATTTGGGTTATGTATGGATCCAAAATAGACCAGAACCTGGCAGACGAGAGACATGCTAAGGTCCCCTGCACCTGTGCTTTCTTCTTGCCCTTGGCCTGAGTCTTGACTCAGCTCTGATCCAGCCTGGTCAAGAAATCCAGGGAACACTCACCATTTATGTTGCACATTTTATTAGGATTTAAAGACGTGCGGTTCTGTAAAATTGAAGGGAAGCAGGGAGGGACAATGGAAACAACCTATCCAACTGTGTGAACTTACACAATACACTTTATACTTCTCTGAGCCCCAGTTTCCTTGACCACAGACCATTGGAGCTGGCTGGGCGAAATGAATCTATTCATCCTAGGATTACATGGGTAAACTACAGATATAGAGATTAAGCGAAAGACTAGAGAGTCATTGTTTTAACTATAAGTAACCCTGAATTTTGCTTAAGTGGATGAAGGGAAGTGACCTGATAGGCCTTGCTGCTGTTCCAGCATCTTATCTGTATAGCTGGCATGGGCATGGAAGACAGGGGCATGGGCATGATAATGCAATTCATTATCATAGGAGCAAGTGTACCATTTCTAGAAGTTCAATATAGCATATGACCCTGGTTTGTTAGAGGGGTCTCGGGTTTGATTCCTGGTCAAAGGCACATACTTGGGTTGCAGGTTCAATCCCCAGCCCTGGTTGGGACAGGCCTGGAAGGCAACCAGTCCATAAATCTCTTGCACATTAATGTTTCTCTTTCTCTCTCTCCCCCTCTCTTCCTCCATCCCCCTCCCCCTCTCAAAACTCAATGGAAAGAACATCCTTAGGTGAGGATTAACAACAACAACAACAACAACAACAAAATAGCATATAGATATTTGCATGTACCTGGGCTTAGGCACTCGTTCATCAGGAACTGGTGTCCAAGTGGAATCCGGAGACTTCTGTTCTTTGAATCTCCCAGTAAAAACATTGGCAATGTCAAGCATGTCATAGGCACAAACTGCAGACCCAGGGATGCTGCAACATGACATTTCACACAGTGTTACTCATGCCCAAGTGCACAGGCAGCTTGGAAAACATACTCCAAAGAAACTTTCCTAATACAGGCAATTGAAATGTAAAGTTCATATATTGAACACAATAAATGTAAGGGATCCTCGTGCAGAAAGCGAATGTTCCTGGGAATCAAATTTTCATCAGTGGCTTTAAATAAAGGGCTAGTTAAAGCAACTCATAAAGAGAAAGGACCTCTTAATATCTTCTGGGACTGCTTTTGTTTAGAAAGGAAGAGTGCTTGAACCGGCGATTTAGAAGTTTCATGAATTCACTGATGTTAATTATTAATCCATAACCCCCTCCCCCAATAAAAATTTTTAGAAAATATTCTATATCCCAATATTGGTAAAAATTTAAAACAAAAGTGCCTCCATGGTCCAAATATTGCTTCTATGGATTTGGAGCCTCAAGCTAAGGACTCCAGGAGTGAGAATGTCTGTGTGAGGAACTGGGGAATATTTTGTTAGTTGGTGTACAATCCAGTTTTTACTCCTGTTTATTTGCATAGGACTGAACAATATAAGTCTCTAAAGCATCAACACTTTGCAAATAAAGTGCTCTATTAAGTGCTAAGTAAAAATAATGACAGTCATCTCTACCTATAATTACATTCTGGCCTGGCACTCCTGGAAGAACTTTGGGATTTTTTTTTTTTTCATCAGTGGTGAGAGGCATGAATAATTCATTCATCTGGGTATACTGTGTGAACCCATGTTTGCTTTTGACTACGGTTGTTCATGGTTTTGATCAAATAAATGGCAGGCACCAGCTGGCCAATGTTTTAATCAGGCCTTGAGGTTGTGGGCCAGTGCACAGCAGCATCAGGGCAAGACTGCGTTCTGCAGTATGGGAACATCATCCAGCACAGAGAGAAGGATTGGCCTGGATTTTGCAAATGTAGAAAGGATATGGAAATCACTTCATAATGAATAGGAAAACTTTATGCTATCTTTAATTTCACAACAATTACTGAAGAATTACTAGTAAAGCAAAAATAGGGAGAGGATTAGAAAGCTTATTTAAAACAAGGTGGCAGAATGAACTTTAAAGTATTTTAAAATTAAAAGTAATACATTTTTAAAGTAGTGTGTGTATATATATATGTGCACATATATATGTATGTGTGTATATATGTATATATATGCACACATTGTTTACAGAATTGAGTATACAAGACAGTGATCCCCATTTGTTTTGAAATTTTGGAACCCTGGCATTACTTAATTTTATAAGATTCTTATCTCCCTTTCTTAAAAGTAACAGGCATACATATTTACTTTAAATATTAAGAAAAATAGGATAAATATTGAATTATTTTATAAGAAACCTTGTAGTAATTAAGGACACCCTGGGATTTTATAGTCTTCCCAAGGTTAGAATTACTTGTGACATCCATTATTCTTCCTTCCCTACTTTACTCCCTCCTCCTTCTTTTCATCTTTTTTTCATTCCTTTCTTTCTACCTGCTGTTCATTCAACCTATAATTATGGAATCCCTAATCTCAGGCAGTAAATACTCAATAAATAATGCAGAGCACTGCTCTCAGTTGACTCACAGCTCAGTGTGGAGGCAAATAACAACAACAATGATGATGATAATAATTCATGCAGGACAACTTGCTAAGAGCAGTATTTAAAGAGGTATGTACAAGATCTCATGGGAAGCGACTCCAGCTGAGACTTGGAGCATCCTTAGGGTTACAGTTGACAAACAGACATTGGTTGGACCAGTGGACTTGGCAGAGAACAGGACATGAGCAAACATGGCATGTTAGAGACAGATCTTAGTTCCAGAAAGCACATGCTGCTGGCAGAGACGGGCCAGACCACGAGGGGGTTTGCACACCATTCTAAGGAGTGTGAACTTTATCCCCAGGGTAAAGAGAAGCACCTAAAAGATCTGAAACCTGACAGTGACCAAGTTTGCATGAGTGGAGCATGGGGTGGAGAGGAATGAATCTAGAGGGAGTAAAACCAGAGAGGGCCAATAATTTATAGATGAAATGGGCATGTGCATTTTTACAACTTTCTGATTTTACTGAGCAAATATGTCTCTGAGACAGCATAAGCATGCAATAATTGAATGTTTCTTGGTGGTTGTTAAAGAAAATGTTTTAAATGGAGTATCTATAATATGCTAGAATCTACTACTGTATTGCAATCATAAAGTAACTCACTGCCTTCAAAAATTAAACCAGCAAACCGGAAGTGTGCTCTGAAATTCTGCTAGCCCCTGCTTTCCCAGGTACCACAACAGTATTCCTTTTCAACAGTCTAGGATTGATGTATTTGGAAGTCTGAACAAAGTCTGAATTATTGAATCTTTTCTATTCTCAGGCTTACAAATCTCCACAGATGGTTAAAGCTTACTTAAATCTCACTGAGTGCTTCTTGCTGTAGTATGGGTTCATATTTTCATGCACCTTCAGCAGGGAACTCTTGACTTCCATGTAATAAAGGAACATTATTTCATCCTTGAGCTTGTTCTGATCCGGGCTCTACCTAATTCTGAAACATTTCTTTCTAGATTCTGTCCCCCAATCTCAACATGTACATGCCTGTCATCTAAGCACTCATTGAGTTCTTAAAAGTCTTTGTAATAAGTGTAATCCAAAATACAACAGTGTATTCCCAAAGGAAGATAATATAGAATATCCAAAATTCTACATAGAAGTGAGAAGACGGTACATTTAGGTTGTATGACCACACCCAGAGGGATGACACCATTTTCACAGTCGTGCTGGGACTCTAAGGCCTGGGAAAGCTGTGTACCAGAGAATCTAAATACCTGTCTTCTTTCTGCTCTTTAAACCCCGCATATTTCTACTGCTCCAGGAACAGTTAGAATATTATTTAATTCTTCAAAGTCTTCGCTTAAAAACTACCAAACTAGGAATATACAGGCTAACACTCAGTATTTCTAGGTTTGACAATGACTAAGTCCTAATTTGAGCCCTCCAGAGTCAGACAGTGGTGCTATGGCTGAGATGCAGGCTCCTCTGATGGGATAGTAATAACCAGGGTGTTTTAGGTGAGTATAGACTCATCTGTATTTTAACTTTCACTCTGTAGCATTTTAATATTTTTTCCCCCAGGGTTTTTACTTCAAAAGATAGCAATATTAAAAGTCAAACATGGCCTAGAAGAGAAAGAACCATTTTTGAGTTTGAAGCTGCCTCTTCTGTTTACTGACTACCTGGACCAGGTACTATAATTGAGTTGTTTTGTCCAGTGTAAAAGAGGGCAACAGTAGTCCTTGCCAGGATTATAGGAAGGATTGAGAAACAACACGGGATTAGTGTTTATATGACAGGCCTATAATTATAAGATATTGTTATAATTTATCTAATTACTTTCCCTATAATCCTAATCTAATAACGCCTGTAAATGACCATTAATTTGTTGATGAAACTGAGTGTTAAGTGCTTTTTTTAGTCATAAATAGTGAATGACAACTTTTCCATCCGTTGTGAACCTTGTGTATTAGAGGAAATCCCCTGGGGAAAGGAAGTCGGAAGAACTAATTAGGTCAGCACAGCCATAGCATGGTTACCTGTTATAAGGTGTGGAAAAGGTTGCCAGGACAACGTCACGGCCATTAATACGAATCACGTCTGTAACCGCCTGGAGTATGTTAAAATAAAAGTGAGAGTCTCCGGGAACTGAGCAGTTGAGGCGAGCCTTAAGGAAAGATGTCCACTGTTTCTCCAGGACTCTCTGTGACCCTCCCATGTCATTCTTACAAACCTGGGCCACTCTTGGGAAAACTACCTGCAGAGGGAAAACACACAGGGAAAATGAAGTGCACTCACTTTTCGAGGCGATCTTATTAGAATTTCCCTTTCTTTGAAAATAGAAACAGAACAACAAGGTGCTTAAATTAATCTCATGTTTCTAAAAAAAAAAAAAAAAAGGGAAAACCTCAGCATTGGAACAGCATGTTTTAAAAGATAAGGCTGTGGCATTTAATACAGAGCCATAAATCCTTCAGGGGATCAGCTCTCAGCCACATACACTCATTTCCATATGGACTGCTTAGCTTTTTATTTCCTTAGACAAAAGCGCACTTTGTATGCACCATCTCTGGCATCCTCCCTGGCTGCCTCTGGGCCTTAAATCTCATACCCTGAATCCCTCTAACCTGGCATTGATTTTGTGCCCTCCAACTTAGTGACCTTGATCCACTCTCTGGTATTCACAACTGAAAGGACCATCCCCTAAGTGTTCTCTTGCTTTATTCACTAAAGATAAAATTTAGGACCCTTGGTTTGCTTAAAGATACTGGATATCTACTCTCTTTAAAAAGAGCATCTCATTAAAAAGAGAAAACTGTTGAGTATACCTGGAAACTACATCTCAAGACACTTGAAACTCAGTAGGAAATCACCGAACATCTGTTTATTACATTTTGAAAAGAAATATTTAAGATGTCCCCAGTATTCTGTTACGTTTTTGCTAAAAAAACAAAAACAAAAAAGGGCTTGGAGGCAGCACCAAGTTTCACTTCCACTAATCTTTGTATCTCCTCAAAATGAGGACCTTGCCATTAGATTGATGGTTCCTATTTCAAGGTCATTTATAACCATGTTGACCCAACAGGGAGACCTCCTCCCCTCCTACCTTTCCCATGGTGTTGTACTCCACTGCTATTTCCCTGAAGAAGAAGTAGATGTAGTCTCCATAGTCCACTGCCTGGACGAAATATGGTTCTGTGAACAAATTGGGAACTTTAATTGGGGACAGGTCACACTGTTGAAAGAATTTTTAATCAGTTGCAACCAGTGACATGTTATTAATTAAAAGCACAGGGCCATTAGACATTTGGTTAACACCAGCCGTTTCGAATGACTGCACACATGTGAGTTCTGGTGATGTCAGAAAGCATTGGAGCCTCCAAACTACATATTTCAGAAGTGGTTGCAACCAACAATGGAGACTGAATGAGTGCTGCATGTCCCTGTCTTTTATTTTCCACAACGGAGTGCCCACGTTACAGAGAGGGCGTCACACACATCTCCTGCCAGCCTGACTCCTGCAGTTATGAGAGCTCTTTTCCTGTTCCCCACACCGCCAGCCCCCAGCCCCCCGTTCTTTTCACACGGGGCTCTGAAATGAGAGTTTGCGGCAGGAAAGATGAATGAAATGTGCTTTATTGCAGTTGCATTGGTAGTTCCGTTAACATCCCAGAAGCTCCTGGGAAGTGAAAAAGGGAGGTAAATAAATCAGTTGAGGCAAAAGATGCAATTTGCACCTTCCCGTCTGCCAGAAGCCACTAATGAAATGAAACTAGTCTGGTCCCTTGGGACCTAAATGTCCCTCAAGCCACCTATCAACCCCACCCCCCTTATCCTTTTGTTTTTTTCACCTTTCAACCATTTTGAATCGTGCTTGACGGTCCGTAGGGTTGGTCTGTCTCCAAAACTCCGGTAAATAACTGCATCGATGGCAAGGAAGTCAGTCACTGTGGCTGAGTATAGTTTTCCATCTTAGAAGAAAAAGAAAAGAGATGGATGGGGTGGGGAGCAAGACCTCGGGCATGGAGGGATAATAGAGACATGCCCAAGATTGTGTTCCCATATCAGACAAATTAGATAGGACAACTGGGGAAAATCCAAGAGTCACTGGGAAAATACTTGGCCCACATTCCTAACCATTTTAAATGGGGATCATGAGAGAGGAAACATTTTTCATTTTTAAATTGCATGGCAATTTCCAAGCAGCAGCAGCTCCAGGGACAGGGTGAGTGAAAAATGTTGTTTGCTTCAATTGATTAGATGGTCCTTGACTAAACTCTCCAGGCCAAGGCCCCTTGGATGCTGCTGCTGCTGCCACCACTTGGGGGTGAGCTGGGTCAGCTGGGGTCCCCGGGGAAGACAGGAGCTGGTTGTTACCACCTGGAAGTTTACATTCCGCAGAAGTAGTGGAGTCCTCAGACTGAACAGGGGAGGTGAATTAAGAAAGGGGGTTCATAAACAAAAAGGAGCTGACTAAACTGCTACTTAGATCTTGAGAGGCACTGCTCCCCTTTAACCGAGTCACGAGAGTCAGGGTTCATACTAAACCCTGCCAACGTAGCTACATTAGAGATAGGCTCGAGAGTACATCCAAAGCAAAAAGGGACTGAATTAGACTAAAGATTAATCCCCGAAAATGTTGATTCTTTTCCTGGATTAGCAAACACTTTACACACAAATAATTAAATGGGATGTTCTAGAATAGAAAAATCTATATAGATGAAAGAGAGACAATAATTATATTCAAACTAAAATATTACTTCCTCAGTAGTTCTTTTTAAATGGACTATATATCTTCTTTAATTATATGGAGGCACTTAGGTACAATATAGTATTCTTTAAGCTCTCCCACTTGTAGGAAAGCATAATGGTTTATAAAAAAAAAAAAGCTTATAAAAAAACTTAGTAAAGTTCTTAATGCCTGCCTTTGGACTTCAAATAATGGAAAGTGGTTCAGGTTCAGTTTAGAGCTGCCTTAATATCTGCACTATTAACAGTCATATATTAGTAAGTGTTGGATGTTTGGGTTAGATTGGAAATGCAGACAACAAACCTTTCTGTTGATAAACATCTACATGAATTACAACTTTAATTATAGTCATAACCCTAGGTCACACAGATAGACCTGGGAAGTGAGGGTTAAAGGGAAGGTGGTGTGTGTGTGTGTGTGTGTGTGTGTGTATGTGTACTCTTTTTGTTTTACATTCAACACTGGGTATTTCACCAGACCTTTACTTGTAAACAGAGCACTATTCTGGCATTCTCGATGGTATTATATGACAACCATTCAGTTGCAGCAAGGCTCTTCTGTTAGTAAGGGCTGAGCGTGTGTGAGAATTCAAACCTTCCAGGGAACACCTAATGAGGAAGGGGAGGGGCAGTCATAGGAGTGTCTCATGTGGTTCCTTTTATTTAGCCTCTGGAAAGTTGGCTTTAGAAAATACTTTGCCCATTCTCCTTTTTTCTATGGCAGGCTACAATACATCCTCTTTTTAATTTACAGTAAATTTACATTCTCCATCACAGCCCACATCCTCCATGGTTACCAGCCAATGCAGGTTCAAGTGTCAGAAATGTGCTACAGAGGAAATTTCACATGTGGGAACATAACCAAGCATCTCCTCTGCTGGGCTTGCTCCCGCCCATGCTGACATAGGTTTACAAGATCTGGTGACCCTTACGATGCTGCTTTCCAGTAATAATACTTTGCTCTACCTCTGGCAGGGGCCCAAGGAAACAGTCCATCACTGGCACAAGCTATTTCTGTATTCTGTGACTACAGATTTAGGACCACAAATGGATGACACTGAGGATGAGAGAGGTTCAAAGAGCTAATTTTATTTCACAATCAAAGGCCTAAAGCTCCTCAGCTAGCTAGGATGTGCCAGTTTTTATCTTTTATAATGGAAATTATAACTCACTGCTTCATTGCTTGCTATAACAATCACTATTATGCCAACTCTTCTCCCTACACCCACCTCTACACACACACACAGCTGGCACTGAATTCCTAAACAAATTTCTAATTAAAGCACATACAGTCATCCACAAAAATCTCAATCTGAAAATGATGGCTTATTTCCTGCTGCTTTATGTCTTTTGTAATGGAAGGAAGGGGTAAGAATGGGGAGTATGAGTCAACCTAAGCTAACCAGTATCATCCCCTTGGCTACTACAACCTTTGCACCATAGATCGGCATGCACCCTAATTAGGTCAGTGATATCTGAGAAGGTGTTTGCTGGAGGGTATGTAGGGGGGTATGTAGCCTCACTGCTCTGAGAGAGCTTCCAAAAACTTCCTAATTGGGGTTGCAGGCATCTGTGATTGTGAGGGCAGCCAGTCTCTCTTAGAAGGAAATGAAAGTGAGCAGAAAAATGAAAAGGTCCTTTGTCCTGAATGATTTTAATAAATTGTTGGATCAAACCAATTCTTACCCTAAATAATAAACCTGTATTAGTGGGGTGAGGTGGGGTTTTCTATTATTGGAGCCCACACAGGCCCTAACCAATATGCCACGTTCAGTGCAAAACTATTAGCCTTTTCTGAAGGCACAAAAGCATGGGTAAATATAGCAAAGAAAGCAAAGTATAACTTTCATACTCATTTAAAATGGAAAAGGCATTGTTAATTACAGTATTTACCAGAGAAGTAAAGTATGACAGTGACTCTGCAAATTCCCCATAGCAGGTTTGCAGCAGCCAGCGGAGCACATAAAAGCAAATGCATTGAGAAGAAATCAGAGCATTTACCTGCAAACAATGCGATGTTGGCATGTTTGGCATCATAGGGGCATCTGGCCATTCCACTAAGTTCATCCCCAACAGGCTCCAAAGTATCCATCTAAATGAAATAATAGGGCTTCATTAGGAACAACAACTAACCATTATAATAAACAGATTCCCAGATTCTTCTAAAATGTCTAGAAATGAGTGTCTTCTCCTTGGAGAAGGAATTTCCAAGGCAATCACCAGGAAAACATATTTGCTTCCCTCCTTCCCCCTGCCCCCAAATTATTGATATCTGTGGAGTCATGACCTTTACAGAGGAGGATCTAGGTATTTTTTGTTTGTTTTTTGCCCGAGGAGTCAGCCACTGTGGGTTAAATCCCAGGAGAAGACACCAAGTTCTTCCTTGGGTTACCTGGTAGACTAGTGTGGCATCAGCAAAGGTACTAAAACCTGGATGTAAGCAGAGATCAGGTGGTCTTTTGCACCTACTTTAGAAACATGTCCCAGCCTCAGATCATGTAGAGGCTCCAAAACTGAGGGCCCCGCACTGTCAAAGGCAGTGAGGGATGGGGCTGCTATTTGACTTTGGTCTCCTAGTGCCCAACCCAGGCCTTGTTACTGTATGCTAGCAGTTATCACTGGCTTGCCAGTGAATTTTGTTTGGCCATCTTAGTATGTAAAAAAAAAAAAAAAAAAAAAAAAAAAAAGACTAAGGCAGGAAGGAAGGAAGGAAGGAAGGAAGGAAGGAAGGAAGGAAGGAAGGAAGGAAGAAGGTAGCCCTATTTTAAAATGGAATTTTCACATGAAAACATGGATTTCTTGCTTTTGAACAAGTGGGAAAGTCAATTTAGGCCCTTCTTACCCAAATGGCAGCGACAAGCTACTTGTTGAGTAATGGACACCTGCCATTTCCTTCAAACAAGCATGTGGTATCCAGTACCAAGGCCCTTTCACCCACAGAATGTATCAACAGCCTACAAGCTGCACTCCTACGTTACCTGCCTGATCCTACAGGCATTTACAGGTGTGGCAAAGCCTTACTAGCTATTCATCAAATACCATTTATCTTTCCTTAGTATCTCACTAAACTACATTTACCAGCCTTCCTTGTGATGAGTGCGATCACATGACTGAGTGGAATGTGAGTGTAAGACTATGCATCACCTCTAGCTCTGGCCCCTAAAAAACTTCCAGGGTCCTCTGCTCTTATTCTTTTTCCACATTCTCCCCCTAGACACAGGATCCAGTGGACAATTCCAATACCCTAAGAGATGGCAGGTGTATGAGCTCATGATGGAGCTTGGCCTCCTGAACAACCTCGTAGAACAAAATCTCTGTTACTGATCAATGCTCGATTGTGAGGATAGCAGGAAATAAAGTGCTATTGGTCAGCCACTAACCGTGGTCCACGGCTGGCCCACCTTGACCAGTATGTTCAGTAGTTTCAGCCTCTACCTCATGGTCTTCTTCCTTATACCATGGGATCTTCCTAGCATTTAAATCTCAGAACCACAGAGCCCATAAAATAATCTCCTCCACATCCTTAATGTTTTATTTTAAAATAAATAAATATATATGTGTGTGTATGTATATATATACACACACATATATATTTATATATGCGTGTACACACACACACACACACACACATTTATTTAAGAGAGAGAGGGAGAGGGAAATAGTTACATCAATGATGAGAATTATTGATCACCTGCCTCCTGCACACCCCATACTGAGGATCAAGCCCACAACTTGGGCATGTGCTTTGACCAGAATCAACAACCTCCTGGATGAGCCATTCCATCCAGGCAACATCATTAATGTTTGTATGCCCCTCTGTGCTTCAGTCCTCTTTAGTTTTAGGGTACTTGGTTTATCATCTGGCAGTTGCATGGTTTGACTACAGATATGAAAACTGAAAGACGATAAACCTGAGATAGCATTGCTGCTGAGGAAGGATCCATGGAAAAGCATTCATCATTAAATCAAGGTGCTTGGAGTCACTGCTCAGAGGAAAGAGTGAGGTTCTACTACACAGCCATTAGTGTTGTCCAGTCCATGGTGTCTTTTGTCCTGAATCTCCAGAAACCATTTCTGGAATGTGACAGGCTTTTTTTTTTTACGCCTATAACCATTTTGAGATAGCCACTATTGAAGCCATCCTATTTGTTTAAACTGTAGTTGAGAATCACAAAGCAATTGTGTTAAAATCATATATTTTTAGGAGAAAGATGTTTAAATCAGACACCCTTTAAAGCAAATGTATTGTCTCCCCCCCCCCCCCCATTACATTTTATATGAAAGTCTTTTTCTGATATTTTATCCCAACTAGACCTTCCTGATGAACTGTGACCAACTTTGCCATCTATGGGTCTGGCGAGTATTCAAAAGAGATGCTTAGGCCCTGGCTAGTGTTGCTACGTGGTTAGAGTGTAATATCTCTTTCACTCTCTCCCCTACCTTCCTTTCTCTTCGTCCCTTCCTCCCTTCCACTCTCTCAAAAAAGAACCAATAGAGAAAAATATCTTCAGGTGAAGATTAACAAAAACCAAAAAGTGATGCTTGGTACACAGTGATGCAACAGAAATGCCCTTCTCCCAAGCAGTGCACTGTGTAATCCTGGCATCGGGGAAACAATGTACAATGGGGAGATATTTTTTAAATGCACCCACTTCTAAAACAGTGGCCACAGCACAGCTATTCAAAGGCAGGAAGCAGTGAAGAATTAATAGATTGGTTTGTGAGTACGGAAGGTGCAGAGACAAAACAATGCCACAGTGAAATCCTCTTTTCATGAGGCAAGAACTAATCTTTGCATTAGTCATCAACTCTCAGGCTTGACAGCAGCCCCTGGGAAATTAAATCGCCATAGGGTACAGATAAATATGCTAAGAACCAGCCTGACGTTTGCAAAAAGTTCAAGAGGTTTAGAGCACAGGAGGGAAAAAGGTATGGAGTGAAGTTTTAGATTTATAGTGGGAAGCCTTCAGAACTCTTCCCCAGATAATCTTATTTGGGGCCATAATCTTTCTTACACATTCAGCCTTCTTTACATAAGTAAAGGCACGGAACAAAAGCAGAGAGCAAATTTTGTCACCCTCCTGCCTCAAGTTAGTCTGATCAACTTGATGCCTTTGGATCAACTCTAGGCTTTGGGATTTTCAGTGGAAGACTGGTCAGTGTTTTTGCTTTAAATCGTTGGCTCTGATCTGTTGATGAAAAGTGCTTAAGAAGGAGGCTGTCCATTCTCTCTGAAGCCAAATACAATATGTTCCGTTTCATTAACTGAGTTCTGTTGTGCCCTAAAAGAACACTTTTCTGCCCTAGTTGGTTTGGCTCAGTGGATAGAGCCTCACCCTGCAGGCCAAAAAGTCCCAAGTTCAATTCTGATCAAAGCTGTATTTCAGTTGCAGGCTCCTCCCTGGCCTGGGCCCTAGTTGGGGCTCATGCAGGAGGTAACCAATCACTGTGTTTCTCTCACATCGATCTTTCTGTTTTTCCCTCTCTCTTCCACTCTTTCTAAAAACCAGTGGAAAAATATCCCCAGGTGGGGATTAAAAATAACAAATAAATAAATCCTGTTAATAAAAGTCTATGTGGTTGTGACACCCTCAAGCATGATGCCCTCATGCTGTAATGAGCAATCACCAGGAGGCTGCATGTGCAGCGGGCATGCATAGGTGGGCAGGGGCTTGATGCTGCATATATGGCATGGAGGCAGGTCCTGTGGCTCTGGGCCGTGAGGCTGGGGGTCCCGTGGCTCCTTGTGGCATGGAGGCGAGTCCCACGACTCTGGCCTACCTCTTTGGTGATCCATCACGGGGCTCCTGCACTGTAAGAGGGCACAGGCCAGGCTGGGGGGACACCCAACCCCACCCCAGGGCATGAATTTTGTGTACTGGGCCTCTAGTAAATAAATAAAAGAACACTTTTCTGAGCAATGCCAAATGTTCTCATGACCATTCGCCGTACTAGGCATAGAGATGAGGACTGCACAGGAAGAACATTGTGTCTAGTTTTTCAGAGGCTCGTGCTCCTGGAACATGCAGTGAAGGGATCACCACAGGTGAGGCATGCTTGGAATGGAACATGTGAGGAAAGAAGGAGGGAGATCACTCTTGGCCTGTATTTGGTCATAAAAGATAGCCCCTCCAGCTAGGTAGTGTGTTGGGATTTATTAGAAGCATTTGTTTTAATGAATCCTAAACAATGACAAATGGAATATTAAGTGGTAGAATTAAAACAAAAACTTTAGCTGTGTGGTCTTACTGGCTGGAGTAAATGTTTGTTTGCATTGGCTGCCTTTATTATAAACTGCATAGATCCTGACATTATTTAAGTTTTTGATACTTTATGAGAGTATTTTTTCATCTATTTAGGTTTTTAAAAATATTGCATTAAAAATGTCACTTATCTTGCTTGATTACTGAATTTTTTTATTTTTTTTATTTTTTGGTGCCTCAATTGCCTCACCCTAATCCTGGTGCCCATTTCCAAGTATCAGACTGAAGATGCACATTAGGATAAAACAGACTCTCCAATGTCTACGGCAGAAGGTCTCTTAAAGCTGTGCAAGCTAAGGCTGGTGACCCCCTGGTTCTAATACCTTTCCTCATTGTCATCCCTCAGGGTTTCACTTTATGCTGGTGAAACTCAAATCTTTACTACGCCCCACATCTCTCCCTAAGTCAAGGCTTAGCCATCCAGCTTCTTGTTAGATATCTTTGTTCGTGTCTCATAGGCATAGCTATCCATGGTGCTATGCATTCTCATAATGCACAAAACTGAACCCCGTCTCCTCACTACTCTGCTCAACCTGAATGCTCTTCCTTCATCCCTTGTCTAAGCAGGACAGCCCGCTTCATCCATTCACCCAAGAGACACCTACTGGTGATCCTTAACTCTTCCCTCTCGTTATCCTGTGCTTCTTAGCGGTTATTGAGTCCTATTGATTTTTGTCACTGAACCTGTTCTCTTCCTTTCCTGAACCTGTTCTCTTCCTTTCACCCATGGGGCCACCTACCTCTCCAGACTCTTTTTTGTTATTACTTGTCACTTCACAGTCCATCACTCCAGGGCCAAATGAAGGTTCCCAATCTCAACTGACCGGGTTTACTCCATGCCTTAGTTCATGCTGTCCTGCCTACCTGGATTGCCCTTCCCTTCATTTGGCTAACTTCTACTTCTTTAAGACAAAGGTTAGGCATTATCTCATTCACTGTCTCACAAAAATTAATTGAGCACTATGTCAGGTTCTGGGTAATCACTGGTGTGGTCCCTGCACTCAGAGTTTAGGGGTTTCTTCTAAGCGGCAGGTGTTTGTGTTCCATATGTAAGAACAGCAGGGTGGGGGGATGTTTGAAGAGAGGGGTCATCTACCTCTTTCATCTACCTGGAAGCTTTCCCAGATTCCTCATCTCAGGCTAAGTACTTTTCTGTTGTACTTCCATAATACTCTGCCTTATGTTGCCATGGCAGCAACCCTGTGGAATTGTGGTTTCTTCATCCAGTCTGGCTTCCCTAAGGATGGAGGCCTCTTAGCTGTCCTTAAACTTGGCCTGGCCAGAGGAGAAACTCAATATATGCTGAGTGAAAGACTGTAGCAGAAAGAAGGGTCAGGGAGAACCGGCAACTGTGGAGCCAGGACCTCAGATCATTGCCACGTCTGCTTTGCAGCTGGTAGCTCCCACTTCTGCAGCAATAGCTCTACCAGAACTAACCAGATTAATAAGGCTTTGAGAGTTAATTTTTTCCCCTTGCATAAAGGCCAAGGTAGGTAAGGACATGGTTAAGTGAGAAGAGTAGTAAATATAATTAAATTCTTATGTTCTTGAAAATTTTAAGTCTACAGGTTCCAATGGCCTGCTTTTGAGATACCTTTAAAAATAGGAATGACTCACAATACATATTAAGTGTGTTTCTCTGCTCAGAGAGGTGGGAGGGAGAAAGAGGAAGGAAGAGAGAGAAAATCCATATGGTATGTGTGGTAGGTATGTTGCTGTTCTGAACAATAAAGAATAGGGTCTTACAGAAACCATCATTGCTCGCGAGGCTCTTTAAAGACCTGTCAATCAATCCTGAACTAACAGGAAGCTTAGAAGCTTGTTCAGGATCACTCATGGGGAACAATACATTAAGTCCAACAAGAGAGAGGAGCCCAGGTAGTGTTGAATTACCCCTCTTAGGTTGCTGCTGGTACAATCCCAGTGAATTATGAAATACCTCTAGGACATGTGGTTCCAGCAGACGAAATCGCACTCACCTTATAGTTTCTGCAGGAAGGGTTGAAGGCATTAGTTCCACAGACAAACAGGGTATCATCGTTTTTCTTTAGAATAACTTTAATGAAATTGTGACACTCATCCTGAAAAATAATTGAGACTCCTTTGTATTCAATCCCTTCAACCCAGAAACCCGTTCTTCGCTGTGTACGGTGATCTAGCCAGTCAGGCTAAAAGGAGGGTAGCTGAGGCGCCCGTCTGCTAAAAGTTCGAGCTCCTCCACATGTTTACCGGAAGATGATACTGACAACAACAATTGCCTTTGGAACAGTAAATAAAGACATGGCGTAGAGTCTGTGTTTACGTCACAAAGGGAAGGCAAGCCTGGAATTGGCAACTTCCCATTGGGTTAATTTTAATGCCAGATGTCATCAGGTTTCTTAATAGATAGGACGACTCTAGGCTGAAGTGTGGTTTTATGTGGCTCTGTGGCCAAAGGCACAATCCCTGTGTGCCTGCAGCAGCCTTTCCGGAGCTGTTCTGCAGAGTCCCTGGGGGCTTTGGACTGTGGCCTGGGCTACTAGAGAGTGCACTTAGAGTCAGGGCAGCTGGCTTTGTGTCCGTAATCCCCAGTGCCCCTAAGTAGTTCGTGATGCGGCCCTAGCTGATGTCCCTATGTTTCATCACATTAAAAGCCAACTCTTTTTGCAAATTAAAGCCTCCAGTCAGTTGATGGGAAAAGCAGTTACTGGTGGTAAAGGGACTACTAGCATGATCCATCCCACATCATGGTCTATGGCTAGAGATAACAGTCCAAACCTTAACCCAAAGTGGCAGCTGCAGGAGAAAGGAAAGTGGCCTACCTTATGCTTTCCCTTCATTCTGCACGTGTCTACATCAGCCTGCTTAGATTTCCATGTCAGTTTCTGCAGGGACCAAGAAAGAAATCAACAAGAGCCCAGAGATTGTTGCCTTTGATTTTAGAAGTAAGAGTTCCCTTGGGGAGACTAGAGACTGAACATACATTCATTGAAAGCTTTCTACACCCTTTCTCCATGGTTAATTCACCATAGCGAGAAAAGATTAAAGATGGACATGTTCATTTAATTTTGAACTCCTATGTATTCATTAAACTACAAAATGATCTTCTCTTTGAGATACAGATAGAGGAAAAAGAATAAACAACTGTGGAAATTTCACATAAAATACCCAAATTAACTTGCTAAATTATGCTCATTTTGACAAAATACATGCAGTTGCCTTTCCTTTCAGTTGATAAATCAATTTTCATAAAGCAGGCTTTTTCCTTAAAATATGGAAGTCATTTTCTTAAAAATAAAGGAGACATTCACTTTAGGTGGACAAAGCTTTAATTCAGGCTGCACGCCACGTACATTCATGCACTGAAGGGGCCGTCTACGTCTACGGCAGATTTTATTAACTAAAATACCTCCATGTGGAGATATCAGGGGAGCCCAGGCTATATTTTATGACTGTCTGAAATGGATAATGATCAAATTCCTGAGCAACAACAGTCAAATCAAACTTAATACTGCAAGACCTGAAAACACAACATTTAAACATTTGTGGGACAAAGTTTTACCCATGAAAACTGATATTTTCCTGGACAAACATGGCAACATTTTATTGAAGGAATATAGGAATTACCTAAGACTCCAAAATGTGTATGTCCACATATGTGATGAATAAAATATGACATATATAACTGTTTCTGAACATACACAAAGTCCTAACTTAGCTCCAAATTAAGATCTCACAAAATTAAATTATAATTGGCCATGTCCTCTCAATCTGTGCATTTAAAATATAAATTCTCTTCACAAATTATCCTAAAGTCCTTCATTTCAGAAAGATGGTTTTAAAACTACTTACTTTGCTACAATAAATTTCTTCTGTGTGTGATGTGTCTATATCAACAGTATAAATATGATCCCTGTAAACAAAGAAAAATGAATACAATGTCAAACATAAGCATCAAGACAGTTCATTTTCTCCTGAATGAGTATGTGTCTTACCCAAGGCAGATAAATCCATATCCTGCTATAAAACAATAAGACACCCACGTGCAAGGAAGCGGGAAGAGCTTTCAGAACCTTTGGATGTGGTAGCATCTATTATGAAAACTCTCCTGCATTCTCTCTCATATCAGAACTGTAACGTCTGCATATCGTAGTTCAGGAGAAAGGATTATAAAAGTTAAACTGGCCCCACTGTAATACAGATGGGTTCACATTTCAGCATCTTCAAACCCATGCACCAGACACTTGGTATTCAGCATGCTGCATCTGTTCATGGGGGCAGGGGGGACCAAAGCTAATGTTCCTCTCTGTCTCAGCATTCGCTTTGGCAATGTGATTGGCAAGATGGAAGATGGTAGAGGGAAAATTATTTCCAGAAGTTACTCTCTTCTTCACACAAGGATGGCCCATTAAGGTCTAAAATGCACTTGAACCTAAGTTTCCGTTTCTTGCTTCTGTTCACCTTCCTGTTTCACTGAGAACTTGGTTGTCTTTGTGACTCGCTGCCAATCTCCCCTAGGAAGCGGGAGAGGAATCGGCAGCTCAGGTGTGGGGCTATATTTAACCATCCCCTTCTGTTTGAGCTGAGTACAAGGGTGTTTTTGTCTGGAATTCAGAAGAAAGAAAAGAAAAGAACTACACTCAACTGGGGAGATGGGGGGTTAGTGAGGGAAAGCAAAACAGCTCATTTTCCTTTGAAATAACATTGACTTTTTCTAAAATGCAGGAAGTCCTGAGGCTGGAAAATTACCCACAGCTTTAAACCAAGACCTCCAGGCTCCCAGGCAGACTCTCAGGTCCCTCATTACTTAAAAGAAAGGGGGAGGGAAGGAAGAAAAAAGGAAAGAAAGGAATCATCTGTCAGGATTTACTTCAAAACCCCCCCCCCCTTTTTCCTCTCAATATTTTTGAAATCTTTTTGCAACCATTTTAAGGGAAGGTACAATAGATAAAAATAAAAGTAAAAGCAGGCTCTCTCATGTGAAAATAAAAGAGGAGGGCAAGGCAGTGGGCTTAGAAAATTTCCTTGCCTGCTATGAAAGAGTGCGAATGAGCATGTGTGAGGGGGAGAATAGGGAGCCTGCTTTGTAAATTGCTGAATTGAAGTTCTTCAAACTTCAGTAGGGTGCCAGAATTTCGCTGCCCTTTAATTTCCAGGCAGTTTTATTGCATTCCTTTATTACTTGTTTGACTTTATTGGTGGTGCTGTGGGTCAGGCTTATTATTGGAATGGAATTGCCTCTATGACTCTGGAATCAGGTTTGAGATGACTCCAGGTTTTCTTTGCCCTGCCTCTCTTCAAAACTTTAAGTAGGAGCCGAATATATGAATTGTAAATTAACAGCTGATTAATATGCATTGGCAATTCCTCAGAAAGCTCTTGGATTGCCCCCTCCTGGCATGACCTGTTTATGTTAATTAGCAGTTTAGAGATTAAAAGGAAGAAAAGAATTTACAAAATGGATAATAATGAAGCAGAATTGAAAGGGGTTCTTGCCATCAAGACTCAGTCATTCCCCGGGTTCTGGATGGTGCTTCCGGATCGCTGACATCAACTGTCTAGAAGAATTGGGAAGCCTTTTAAAAATACAGTCTGTGAATGAAATCTCCTTTTGGACAATGCAATCTTTTTCAATACCCAAGAGATCACATTGCCCAGCAAGCAGAAACAGTCCAGGGTCAAAGGTTATTCCTAAGCAGCGACCAGTACATCCTAGGATTCATACACAGCTCTTATTGAATTAAGTTATTTGAACATAAACTGACTTAATCCTAGGACTTCCTCTTCCCCATTGCAGTAAGTAGCACTGAATTGTGTTGCCATGGCTTGAGCGTGGCAGAAGAATTTGACTTGAAATAGTGTTACTTGCTGCCTAGGAACCTGGATCTCTCAGAGAATGATGGAAAGTGTGAAATTAAAGTGTGAGGAGAGACCCTAAACATGGCAGCCACAGAACTCCTTTAGGAATCTTCCAAGTGTGTGTATTGAAGGGCAGTGGTTGAGTATAGAGTGAAAGCAGCTGGTCAGTGCTAGGGTTTTACAAATTTTATCTCTAACAAAAGGCAAGTCTGCTTCATAGTCTTTAAAAATTGAATATGTTTCTTCTCCGCCTTCCATTTCTTCTTTCTCCTTTTCTTGGTGTAAAACAGTTTTAACCAGCTGGAATAATGGTCAGGACTAAGTTTGCATAGCACTTTGCTCCTAACTCAGGTACACCCTGGAACTGCAGCCCACAGCCATGCTAAGTCATCAGGCATATCACACCAGAGATTCCATTGCAAAGTGAACAACCTATAGCACATTATCGAGTCAGCCTATTTTTCACAGGCCCAATGTTTAAGTTTAGCTTTTAGATAATTGGATACAAATGTAGTCTTAGGAAACAAAATGTAGTATTTAAGAATAAGTTAATATTCTGCCTCAGACATGTCTACTGAAGACCTTGTTTTTTAATGAATGCATGCAATGACGATGTTCTTGGGCAATAGCTCTTATAAGGTAATTCTCAGGACAAATATTACCACCTCCACTGCTCAGTTAGGCTGTACAGTATGGGGAGTAATGACCCAAACTCTAAAGCAAGACCATTCTGGTTCAAATCCTGCTCTGTCATTTCGACTAATCATTTACCAATTTTGTACTTTGGTTTCCTCCCATAAGACATGGGGATAATAATATTTTTTTTCTCATATACTTTCTTTCAGGATCAAATGAATTAACATTTATAAAGAACATAAAATTATATATGCAATTTATATGGCATATACAACTAGTATGTACTATATAGTTTTTTTTAACTGAAATTTAAAAAAAAAGTATTTTAGCATTTCTCCCTGTGACCAAATATGGGGTACTTAACAGATATTTTAATGTCACCAATGGTTTTGTTGTTCTTATTTTATGTTGTACAGCTTGTCTTTTCAGAAAATCTATGTGCTTTAAATGAATCAACCACTGTTGCTGTTTACCTGTTCTTTACCTGTGCTTACAGTCAGACAGGAACCACAAACACAATCTTTATTTCTTTCTCCCTCTGTGAGATTATGAATCAATCTAAACTCAGTAAGACCACAGTGGAATTTCATATGATGGTGTTCCTTGTTGCTGTTCATTTAGAAATTATTTTGAATGAGCTACACACCTTCAAAAGGGAACCAGACATTGTTAGAATCCCAAGAGACTTCATTAAGATAATCTCTCCCAACCTCTCATTTGACAGAGAAATATTCCAGGTAAATCAAGAGCGAACTTAAAAACAAAAGCCTAAACCCACGTGATGCTTGTGTAGGCAGTTTTCTTACCACCATGCCTGTCAGCCTTAAGACAGGGTGTGTTTTAATGACATTTCCCCAGTGGATGAATATTTTCTTACTAGAACCAACTGAAAGACTCTTTGGGTGCTACTGCCAATCCGTTAAAGTAATGATATATACTATCCACTCACTGCAGAAATACAAACAGGCTTAATATACACACACACTATAATAATACATGTTTACACATTCAACTTAATTTAACAAACAAGTATCAAGGAGAAAGGCACTCTACTCAGTGCTCGAGTAAATATTTGCATATATGTTCAAGAAAAACATTGGATTACTTGGGTCTAAAATCCCAAATAGGCAATTATCTAAAGCCGTACCACGTCAGACAGACACAGAAAATCTCAAAAGAATGATTGCGTGACACGCTAAAGTAGCCTTTACATTAAATAACGCTCTGTTTGGGAATGTCATGATCCTTAACAAGATGCACAGCGGGCCCGTTTGTATCCTGGGACCATCGGCCGCTTGGGAAGCGGAGCCGTGGAGCAGGCCACTCACCGGGCAGCGATGTAGAGGGTCCTGTTCATGATCATGATCATCTGGATGTCCAGGCGGTGCCTCTGTGTGCTGTTCCGCCCTGGCTTGTGGCCCACAAACACCGGATACTGTTTTGTATCTGTGAGAAGAGGAGATGGGGCAGCAAAGGGAAAAGGAAATCAAGCCAGGAATTGACAGGGCAGGGGGACAAAGGGGGCTGTCTACAGAACAAAACCATATTTAAGTCAGACCATGCCACCACTTTCCGTCTCCAATGAGTCTTGTTATTTTAGGAAAAATTATGACAGAAGCATGCTCTTTAAGAGAATGATCATATTACGGTTTCATTCTCAGATGGTAATAAGCCTGCCATTTGTATTTCTAAGTGTCACTGTTTCTGACTTGTCCCTCTTCCTGGGGCTTAAACTTGCAAGTGAACCCTTTACATGAAGGTGCTCTTTCTCCCCAGTTCTCTTTTCATCTTCTTTAGAGCGCTAAGCCTGGGGGGCAGCCTGCCAAAGATCTTGTCTCGGGACAAAACTGTTTCAAAGCGGCCTTCCCATCAATCACCACAAAGGCAATGTGGTCTGGAGGCGAGAGCCCTGGACCAGGAGCCAGAAGAAAAATACAGTCTCCGCAGGCGTCCAGTTGGAATAATCTGCCATTGAAGGCGGCCCCGCTAGGTTGGTTGGCATTCTAGGAACTGTGGGAAGTTCGCTCTTGAGTTAAGCAATTGGTTGATCTCACAGAAACGGGCAGTTTGACAGGACAGGGTCAGACTGAGTGTAGCCAGTCGGGTGATCTGGACTTTCCCTGGCTTGGAGAGTGGGTGAGCCCAGTTCTCCTTTCTCACAGTTCTCTCTGGTTGACAGTGGGCAATTTGTAATAATGCCTGACCTTTAGACATTCCTACATCTCAAAAACCTCTCTGCCTTTCATCCTACAAACTTCGGAGCACAAGCATTCCTCCAAAGAAACTAAGGACTCACATACGATGAGTCACCTTTAAAAGGCACTTGTATTCAGGGGGTTGGGGAGGTATATAATGACTCGAAAATCATTCACAGATTTATGCTCAGACCCCTCACTTTAAACCTCAGTAGTATCTGGGCATGACTCACAGTGGGTGTCTTATTCAAGAGCCACAGTTATTTTACTCACAATTAAGCTTTAGTATGGAATTAGCTCATGCCTTTCTCCCCACTGCTCTGAAATTTCATTTACCCATCATTAATGAGCTTGCTAAAGCAGAATCATGTCTCTCTGGTATCAAGGTCCAAGTGCTCACTGTAGTATCCTTTTGAGCAGCACATTTGGGCTGGGTCTCTTCTGTATACCTATCTCAAATGGTGCTAAACTAAGGCTTACTAAGGTTTGGTGCCTTGAATTAGGTGGAATCTGTCACTGCAAGAATGATGATCTCGAACTATATAATTTGGCCTCAGTCATGTTCTGACTTCTGTTTTATGTATCAGTCTTGCCACCTCACCTGATAAAATTACCTTTTTCATCCCAGATGGGCATTAATGGATCGTATTAGTATTCAATATTATTTTAAACACTTTTTGTATGGTTTATTTTTGTTTGTTTTGGTATAATTACTGAGAAAATATATATTTGGGGAAAATGCCCTCTTTCATTTTTAATGTGATAAAATATTTTGTCTTTTGGAGAGAAGGAAAAAAAAGTAGTAAATTGGCTGTTCCATCCAATATGCACGTAAATTTTCTTCATTTGAGGAGTCAACTAAATTCTCAATCATGTTGCTTTCTATCCTCGTCAATGAAGCAGACCAAAAGGAAAGTTATATAAACAGTTAAAACAGGCCCTTGGGATTAAAATTCACTCTACCTAAATCTAACACAAGCATTCCTCCAAAGAAATAATTTCTAAGTCTAAAAAAAGTTAATTTTTGTCTCTAGAATGCTCCAAAGCAGCCTTACTATTTCCTGTCTTTATCCTCTAGTAAATTCATATGTTAATTACATATGAAAATGTGCAATACTAGTAATCCCCAAGGGATAGTGATATTGTCCCTCAGCTGGTTTCCAGCTGGACCACAGCCTCCATGTGGTAACGGAGACTTCATCGAAAGTATTGAGGAACGTTTCAAATGCTCACACATATGTGTCCTATGACAGCATTTAATGAAGTTATAGAACGGGCATCTGACCGACTTGAATTAACTTTGCCACCTGCACAAGTTCAAAGTGACCAACGAGTCTCCTGTTCTGTTAAACTTTTTAATGTTTTACTGGTTGATGCAGGCTACCGTGCCCACAAAGGGAGAGAGTGGGATTGTGGGTACTTACAGTTGCCATGCGAAATACTGATTGGCTCAGAATCTTCTGGGAAGCCAGCCCCAGCGCAGTGCAGCAGTGTGAGATATAGCAGCAAGGCTTCTGGCCTCATAGTAGTTCAGCGGGGAGACTTTCTTTCTTTACTTCACCCTGCCAAAGAGCAAAGGAGGATTTTTTTTTCCCTCTTTTTGCAAGTCAGCTTTATTCAGCTCCATAAAAATGAAATGGCCTTGAAGATAAAGCTAAGAGAAAAGAGGTCTCCACTTCCCAACTTTTTCATTGTGAATTCTCTGATTATTGTGTTTTACATAAGGAACCTGTATCCATCTATCACCCAACAGCACACCCGCCTTCCCCAGGCATCCGCACACTTTAGCAAAGCTTCTCCCAGACATGTGACAGAGAGCCTTAGTTCCTCTGTCCTCAGCCTATAATAGGCTATTATCGGCGGCTATTTCACAATTATGAAACGGCATCCCTCAAAATGTGAACTGAAGAAACATTTTTTTTTTTAAAGGTGTAAATCCCTTTTCCTTCTCAGCAGGTTTTTAGCAGCAAGACATCCCTCAGACATGTTTTGTTTGGCCAGCCCAGGGTCTTTCAAAAATTTGTAGTTGCCAATATTGAAAAATTAGGAGATTTCTAAACTTTACACAAACCAGAATATCTTTCTTTCTTCTTTTTTAAAAATTCTCACCCACGTATATTTTTTTCTGTTCATTTTTAGAGAGAGTAGAAGGGAAGGGGAGAAACATCATGCAAGAGAGACACATTAATTGGTTGCCTCTTGCATGCACCCCAACTGGTACTGAGGTACGTGTCCTTGACAGGAATTCAACCCCAAGACCTTCCAGTCTGAGGGCTGATGCTCTAACCATTGAGCAACCAGTTAGGGCCAGAATATCTTTCATATTGACCTAAATAACAGTTCCTCTCAGGCACCACATTTCTCTCTACCCCTAACACACTCTCTCTCCCTCCCTCCTATACCTATAACTGGTCCCCCATTCACTATTTCCATTACTTGCTTGACCCTTTAGTTGAGATTTTCACCCTTGCTTTCTGTAATTCCATAGTAATTCTATAGTGACCTTAGACATACATAAAATTACAGAATCGAATCTGTGATTAAAAAGAAGTAAATGGCTCTTTTCAGACCTTGAAGAATACTCTAGGGAGAATTTGAAGCCATATCTTGAAATGGGAGGGTTGATTTTTTTTTTAAAGCATATCCCTGTACATTTTAGTCTCACATTCCACCTTGCAATGAAATAGTCATGGATAAAAATGCCAGGTATACTGTTATACCCATCTGTATTTTCATAAAGATGCTCTTTATGTGTAGAAAAGAACTCTAAATCTTAGAAGTAAAAACCATTCCATGTAGAGCCTATTAAAACAGTAAATATCACATAATTCTGAGGCATATTTCAAATAAGTGTTGATCTATCAGGGAAGTTAATGTAAAATGAGGATATCTTTTCATCTCTCCAGAGTAGTAAAGCCTTAGAAGTAGCCTGCTAAAGACGATCTCTTTTGAACAAAGCTATTTTACATCAGTTCATCAATCATTTAAGATTTGTGTGTAGAAAGGTCAAACTTAGTAACAAACTGCTAACTTATGCTTTTTTGAACACCACTTAATATAAGATACCCATGTCTCTCTTTGTCATGCCAAAAAAAGCATTAACAAGTCCGGAGTGTTACATTACAACTTATAATTTTACAGTTATCACTGGGTCTTAATCGTTTTATTCAGTTGAAAAGTGCACACTACTTAATTGGCTTTATCTTAAAAATCAAAGCGGGAGAGAGGCTGAAAGAACAGCCAAAGCAATTCCGTATCTTCGGCTCCGATGTGTAGATTAAAATTAAACTTTAAATGATGACTTGTTCAAAGGGGTGATCTGTTACCAAGAGACATAAACATGTATTTATACACAGGTTAAACATAGTAGCCCATTCCTCTATCCATTTTTCCAGTTCTTCCTATTCTGGAGAATCTCAGCCCAAAGTGAAGAAGCTCTGAGGTACTCATATTTGTTTGTCATACTTTGTGTTCAGTATAACAATGAAGAGTTGAAGTCAATAATAAGAGTTAAGTAAAACAGAAACCAGACATCAGTTGGCTGTTATATTTTAGATGAGAAAGTATATGGGGAAGAGGAAGCGGCAACATTTAGCAAGAGCTCTCGAGTAGTAGTACGGTGTTATACAGGAGCACAGTACCTCAGAGCGTTTGCAGCATGTAATGGAAGAATAATGGGACTCAAAAGACCTGAGTCTCATTTCTTTAGCAATCTTTGGGAATATGTGTATACTTTTAAAGAATAATTTTTCTTGACATGACAAATGAATTCTATCCTTCCACAACTGCATTCATTTTTGCGCAAATGTCCTACAAGCTAATAAAGTTCTGCTATTATGCTATATCTCCTGATTTTATCTTTTTCCATCTTAAAATTGGGTTAGATGCAACATTCTCAACCCCAGAGGCAGGCATGAAGAGCACTGCATGCAGAATAAATATACTTATTATACATTTCAGTGGCTTCTTTTAATCCCTACACCCAGGATCATGAGTGAGACAGGTTATTAAATATCTCCAGGTTTAGCCCTGGCTGGTGTGGTTCAGTGGTAGAGCATCAGCCCAAGGACCAAAAGGTCCTGAGTTCTATTCCCAGTTAAGAGTACCTTCCTGGGCCCCGGTCAGGGTACAAGCAGGAGGCAACCAATCCATGTCTCTGTCTCTGTCTCTGTCTCTGTCTCTGTCTCTCTCTCTCTCTCTCTCTCTCTCTCTTTCCCCCCCCCCCTTCCTCATTTCCACTTTCTCTAAAAATCAATGGAAAAAAATATCCTCAGTGAGGATTAACAAAAAAATTAAATAACTCTAGGTTTAGAATAGGGCTCCACGCCAGAAAAAAAAAACACAGCTGTTTCATGTGTCTTTCTATCATCACATCATCAAGTTGTTAGCATGTACATCATATGAGTGAGGGTGTTCTGGCAGTACCAGTTAATCTTGGCCAGTCCACACGAACACCTTACAATTTTCTTCAGTTGAGGCTTTGATGTATAGCTGCTCCCTTCCTACACAACTTTGGGCTCTAAACCTTGTAAATATATAGTCAATCTATTTTCTTATTGAAGTGATTACTTGGTGGAGAGACCCCAATTCAATCACACTGTCATTTTCTAGCCTGTAGAACATAGGTTGGCTATCCCCCCTAAGAGCAATTGGATTGGCTGGGAGAACAAAAGCAAACAAGAACTTTCCACTGTGCTTCAAAACTTTGAGTTGGCTGGGCTGCGGTGATTAAAATACGGTTTAGGTAATCTTTGAAACTTTAAGTGTTACCTAAAAATGTTTTGGGGCAACTGCAGGCATTTGTTGGTTTCCCTCTCTGTAACCCCACTTATAGAGGCTAACATGGCAGACTAAAGCAGCTACCCAGAAAATTAGATCGTGGAAAGACTGTCAATATGAGGACTCTAAACAAAAGTAAGTAATTTACTTCAGAAGGAAGCTTATTATGCCTGAATTTTCCATCTAATGGTCTAAACTTTCCATTATGCTTAGCTTGAAGAGAAATGCCCTTTGTAAAATACACCATTACTATAAAGTTGTTTAATCCTATTCTTTCCTAACCCACAAAATTCATGGAAAACCCTAGGGTAGTTTAATAGGCGTCTGTTGGTGAATTTATTAGGTCTGTTTGGGTTAATCTAAAGTTAATTATACAATTTTACTCTGAGTCAGATGGTCAAGAATTGTGTTGACTTTCTACATGCTCTGAGCCCTGAGAAAAATTATTTTTACTGTAATTTTCCCATATAGTTTTTAAGGCCAAACTGATGCATAAAATGTTGTGACCGTTGGCTGCCGTGGACTAAATGGACCTTGCAGAAGGCCAGGAAACTAGCCTTCAGGTATTCCAGATTGAGGACCAAACAAAAGAGATTTAAAAGAAAAAAGTCTGTTTGAAAATCCTGTGACTGTGTTTGTGTAGATAATTGTTTTTAAAATGATCAAATATTCCATTTTACCACCCCTCCCTCCATACCCTTGTCATCCATATGGCAGGTCATTGTGTCAGCAAAGCATTAACAAAGGGAATGTCACTGGAACTGGTAGGGTAGGTAGAGCTAGAGAGACAGGAGCTGGATAGATGGCTACCAGCAAGGGGAACACAGGGGAGATATAACAAACAAGAATTAACCAAGAGTTAGAAGACACAAGAGTGAGAAGGGAGAGACTTGAAACCTCCTCCAGGATGTGGTCTATAGCTTTAATCCTGGTGAGGCATCCTTGAAACCTGAAGAGGTTTTCAACTCAACTCCAAATGAGTGGGGCACTTGGTTCAACTTTGGCCAGCTAAGCTTCCTGCTTGGACTATCTCTGAGTGTATTTCCTCTTCTTACAAATACACTCTTACATGCTTTGCTTCTATTTGGTACTATCTCTTGTTTGAATTCTTCCCTACAAGCAAGACAAGAACCGAGGACACAGAGACCACCTCTGATAGAACTGGAAATGATCTTGAAGTCAGAGAATAAGGTCACAAATTGCTACATCTTCTTTCTGATTAATCAGGTTAATTTCATAAGAGCCACTAGGCCTGGCTAGGAAGCCCAGCCACAGTTCCATTCACATTTACCCCAAGATTTGGTCAATTCTCTGCCCAAGTATCACAAAACTGGTAGGACTTGGCTAAAGCTGGCTCACAGAGGACAAATAAATAAATAAACTAGTTGCTAGCATTTAGGAGAAGGAAAAAAAAAAGTGGGCAAGATTTAACATACAACTCCAGATTTCTGGTTTCTTAAAGAAATCAAAGATCTGGCTTTGTGGGCCAAAATTACACATGACCTACGATCCGGATGGAGCTGAGGAGTAGCTGTCCAAAGCAGAGGGGCAGGCCCTCTCCAGTTGGAAACATTCCCACCACTCTCCATTGTCTTCTGAAGCCTCTCTCACCCCCTCAAACTTGACTTCCTGACCCCTGAAAACGCGGAGGGCAACCTTCACGCCACTCAGGAGCAGCCCCTCACCACTGCTTGCTGGAGTTATCCTGCTCGTCCGTGCCATCAAGTGCAAGTTGCTCAGTGTCAGTCAGTCTTAGCAAGTGAACCTGGTGGGACCCAATGCC